ATTTTCTTGTTTTTCCATCACAGTAAGTTGAATATTTTTGGAGTTTCGACTGTTTATCATGTGAAACAGCTTATACTCCAAGTGACTGAACTTTTCTATGCAGATGATGTGGTGATTTCCTCAAATAGCATTGAAGAGCTCAGTCGAAGCCTTTTCAAGATTCGGGTTGCAAATGTCATATTCTAAAAGCGAGACCATGGAATTCAATGCCGACGAGTCGATCAGAGCTCAGACGTCCCTACGCTCTGTAAATAACACCAGCATCAAAAATGTCAGGGACTTTCGTTACTCAGGCCATCTGATTACCAACACAGAAACGTCGGCTGCCGCTCTACACTCCAGAATTGCTTCTGCTTTTCAAAAGTGGGACGAATTGAAATGCTGTCTGACTGATAAAGAAATCCATCTGGATACACATGTGAAGATCCTAACTGGGTGCATTTACTACATGGAATCCAAACTCACGAGTTGTCAGCAGCCGACCTCCAACAGATGGAGAATGTGTGGAATGGCTTCCTGAGAAAGACGGTGACCGGGGGATAGGTCAGAAAAAACGCTCCCACCTGTACCCAGTGAAAGAAAGGATCCAGCTTCACAAGTCGAAGGGGAGCTCAGCTGGGCTTACAAGATATCGAACGAGAAACTGCGGGATATCACCAACACTGGTCATATAAGGGATTTTTGCCATGCACAATACTTGAGATATATGGCCCAGGTGCGTCACGTGGATGCCTTGCAAAAGCAGGTATTGTTCGACAAGCGAACACCCAAGAGGACTTAGGATGCTGGATGGGTCGGACTTTAACCAGCTGCTGGACCATAGACTGTATAAAAGATGGACGTAGCAACCGGCCCTGAAAAATGAAGCCAACCCGGAAGTGTCAGAAACCTACAGTATCACTACGTCTGCTAGTCCTGGCTCCAAAAAGCCCTGGCTCCCATAGCGGGGCAAGAGGCGTGGCTGGCTTGATTGACAGTCGGCAGCGACCATACAGACGAAGCGAGCAGAAGGCGGTAAATGTGGGCGGGCAAAGAGGGCCCGCCTCCGTCTGACCAATCGCTGTTCCTATGGCTCCGCCCCCCTCTGACGATTTTCCAAAAATCCAAGATGTCAACCAGGAAGTAGCAAAACCCTGGCTTCATTTTCTCAGTGCAGAAACCAACGGGTGACGTCACGGAAGTTACGTCCATCTTTTATACAGTCTATGTGCTGGACGCATGCTTTGGTCCGCAGTCACGCCAGAGGGCCGAGAGCAGGCCATAGGGAAAACCTGATGATGATGATTATAGTGGGTATTTTTTACAGAGGTCGATTTTTGGATCTAATGTTCCAGATTTTACCCGTTTTATTGTTCAGGTTCCTGATAAATTAAATCTGATATTTGTCATGTCACCTGTCAGAACTGATAATTAAAGAGTTCTGTTTTGGTTAAACAGATGTAAAACATGAAGTGATTTTAGGCTAAATTCTGAGTTGAAGTTCGTGTTATTCTAAATTTCAAAAGCAAGATTCTCATTTTAACTGCAAATCTAACGACTTTTGGTCTCCTCGAGTACTAATAATTGTTATCAACCCTTTAAAACACACACTTTTTTTTGCAGTTTTTATGTGTTTTACAGATTATTCAAAAACATAGTTAATTGGTCTTTTATTTGTTCCAACTAAAAAGTTCATACATCAACTCTTTCTTTGTTGTCTTTTGGGATTTTCTGGACATCCAATGGCCCGGGTGTAATAATAGAACGCTTTCTTGATATAAAAGCCATCGCCTTGCTCTGTGTCTTCATTAAAACACCAACATTATGATTAAACCACCACACAAAATTATCTTTTAGTGATTTTAGAAGACTTGTATGTTTAATTCTAAGAAAATTTAGGCATCAATCAAGTCCAGAAACCAGAATCTGGCATAAAAAATCAGTATTTAAGTGGAAAAAACAATCAGATATAAGGGGTTTGAATGCATTGAGGGCCGTGTTGTGTTTGTGCAGCCGTACGATGCGAGGCTTCATTAGCAGAATCGATTCTCTAAAAGTCAAAGCACTTTAACAGTCTGCATTATGTAGATCGTAAATGGAGGCAGAAGAATGAATGAGTCTGTGTTTTCTCCAGCCGGCGGTTAATAACGCCGAGCTGCTCCGTGGGTTCACGGATGCGTCAGTGTAAGTTGACGCTTGAAAACAAAGCCGCCTGCACACTTAACTAGTTCTGCTGGTGGCGAACGGAGACGAGATGTCGGCACACGTGATGAACAGATAGGACGCCTGGTTCTACACGCTTTCCCTTATCAGCCGCCGCATTATTATCGAAACACGGAGCGAAAAATGACATGAGCCTGTTGGCAGAAGGCTGAAGATTAGTCGGAGTCACATGTCATCCGTTAATGCAACACAAGCAGCAGCTACAGACAGACGCACTGTAAAAAACCTGGAAAAACACATGAAAAAAATACTGTAAAATACTGGTTACAAAGAACTTTAATGATCAAAATTCAGTTTCTAGCCCTAATTTGACTTGACATGTAGAGTTTTTTTGGCTTTTTAATGTTTAAAGAAGGATATTTAAACATGTAAAAACGACAAATCACCTAAAAATAATGTTGATTATTGGTTATGGTACAAATCATCAGGCTTAACTCTGCAGAAAAGTGCCGTTGTTTGTTGGGTTTTAATCTATGTTCAGTTTCAAATTGCAGGAATCAACAGTTAATTTTAGATCTTGTCAAGTGTAGTTTGAGTTTTTACACATAACTTGACAACAAAAACAAAGTCTTATCGTATATTTGACAGATCTGTAACGATAAAAAAAGCTGAAAAAAAAGTGAAACCACAAATACTCATGTTAAAAATTACAATAATAAACTGGTAATTTTAGATTCAATCAAGTATAGTGTTAGGTTTTTTTTTTAACTTTACATAAAAATCTTAAGTATTGAAAAAGTTTAAATATAAAATTAATGGATTTTGAAAAATTGTAAAAGTTTGGTCATTAAACAAATACCTGTGATTATAGTTACAATAGTAAACTTAAATCCTATTAAGGGTTTAGTTTTTAATAAAAACACTTACATAGAAATCTTCTGGATACCCCTGTATAGATTTTATTTTTATTTTACATTAGAAATGTAAACTCACCATTTATTTTTGAAATTTTGCTGATAAGTTTATGTATTTCAATGCAAAAGAAATCAGTTAAATAAAAAATGGAAATTAAGTTAAATGGAATTAAACAGATACTTACTTATATATTATAATTGCAATAACAAACAGTTAATTTTAGTTTGAATCAAAAAAATTATGATAGGTTTTTACATGCAAATATTTGTAAAAATGATGCAGATGCTTTTGCATACAGGTTGTGTTTAGTCCGTTTTACATTAGAAATGTAAATTCACTGTCTATTTTTGTAATGTAATCGATATTTTTGTTTTTTTATATTTAAAAAATGCAGAAAAAATTTGTGAAATACAAAAAAAATACAATAAAAAATACAGAAAAAAATCTATAAAATAACACTGTTTTTTTACAGTGCAGTGTAGCAGAGTAAAAAGGCGCATGTGTTTTTATTAAAAAAGGAATTAAATAAATACATATTATTATAATTGCAATAATACACCGTTAATTTGAATTTGAACCAAAAGTTTAAAAAAAAGTTTTTACATGAAAATCTTTGTAAAAATATTGTATGTATTCTTGTATCTTGTTTTTTTTATTCATTTTACGTTAGTTTTTTTGTAATACAATCAATATTTTTTGTTTTATTTTTGTATTTCAAAAATACAGAAAAAATCTGTTTGTTTTTTTTTAGCAGCTCAGCATAGTCAAATAAAATGAAGCGTGTCTTTTGTTTACTTTTTTTTTTTTTTTTTTAATTCAACAAATATTTGCAACAGTTCAGTTCAGCAGCTTTATCTGAACCTTCATCAGGTGTTTCTGAGTAGATCAGCAGCATCAGATGCGTTAGCGGCCGTCAGAGGACGATAACTTCAGCTGTGGATGCTTTCGGTGGAGTCAGTTCGTTGTTAGTCGCTGTTCTCTGAGGAGGACTCGACCAGCTGGAGGATGTGGACGGTGTTTTCATCCCGTCAGGTCGGGCTGCAGCTGTTTTCAGGTGGAGGCGTGTTCTGTGTTCCTGTAACCAGAAACCACGAGTGTCTCTGAAAAGCTGCCTTGACCTTCTCATTCTCTCTGATCTGTCCTGCGTGCCCACTACAGGATTATTATCCCTCAGCTCCGGTTACACGCATGTGACCGTGCACACACACACACACACACACACACACACATTTATCAAAACATCTCCTCGCCGCTCAGACTCTTGGTTTGCCTCCTTCGGTCTCACACTTGCAGATCGAGTGTCTCTTGATGCCACGTCGGCCGATGACAAAGACCGTCTGGCCACATGTCACAATAAGCTCCTGTCAGCAGCAGAGCGAGCGATCTGGTTGCTGCTCTCTGGACGGTACAGTGTCAGGATCACACCGACCAGCTGCTGCTCACGTCTCACGTTCATCTTTCTCTCGAGTTAGAAAATTAAATAATGCAGCTCGGTTGGTTTCCAGGGTTGCTGTGGAGAATAAACGTTCCTTTTCTCTCCCGTCTTTTCAGGCTCGTCGCTCTGCCGTTAAGCAGAGTTCTGGGTGTGAAGGATCGGATTCGGATTCGAGCCCCGTCGATCCCAAAGCTGGAGGCCTTCTACAAGCAGAACAACCGGCAGCCATCGCAAGTTTGTATTTCTGCTCTTCAACCATAAGAACATAAGAAGAGATCAGAAGCTTTGGTGTCATTATAATGAAGTGCAAGACTGCAATGCAATGACATTTTGAAGGCACTTGCTGAGGAAAATGTGTGCAAAACTAAAAAAAAAAACATGCAAAAAGTACAAAAAGTTTACAAAGAGACGCTGCAGAAAGTCTCCAAGATCGATGCTAGAGTGCAAAGTGAAGCAGCAGCAATAAAAAAACAAGTTATTAGTTAAAAAAAAATCATCTTACAGGAGACAAAATCATAGTTCTGATATCACAGCGAGTCACAGCTTTTCCATGAGCACAAGAACCAGCTCCATCATAACGGCTTGTGTCATATAAATGCAGTTTTTCTTGATTCTCGAGGTGATTGCGTTCCCACGTAGCTGCGTCCAAACCTGAAAGATAAAACAGCTTCTGACAGGACACCTCACTCTCTGTCTGACAGTCTGTCACATCTCCACAGATTAGCTGCAGGGGAGACGCTTGTTTTAATGGAAGTTCTCACCGTGAGCCTCGCAGCGTGTTTGCACTGATCAGGAACACTGAAGGGTGAAAATGCACAATCGGCTAACGAGGGGCTGTGGAGGTTTGCATGGATCTGCAACTGTAGCTGTGGAAAGCGAAAGCGCTGATGTGTAGATGTGAGTTAGTGCTGGCTGGGTGTGTGTGCAGGATCTGTTCCGTCTGGATGAGCCGTCTGGGAACAAGGAAGTTTTTTTAAGGAAGTTCTCAGACGGATTGAGTAAATCCACAAGTTGGACTGAAGCTGAGTGTCGCTTGTTCCAACGGTGTGATAGTTAGTCAGTGGGGCAGGTGTGGTCGGTCGGCAGCGTGGTGTCACCTCCGTCCTCTTTTGTGAATCTGCTCAACAATAGCACAAGAACAATAGAGTTACTGTATAATTAGTTAGGTTTAATCATCTTCTCTTAATAATTAAAATAAAAAAGAAGCAACAGAGGAGCTCAGGTTCACATGGAACCTCTCCGCCCTCCTCCTCCTCCTCCTCCTCCTCCTCAGCCTTCGTGTACCTGTGCAGACAAGCAGCGTGTTCACCTGTCAGGGCAGGACGTGGCTGACATGTGGGATGAAGACGCTCGGTGTTCAGTATGTAGACGTGTGACCCGTGTGACCCAGATTTATTTGCCATCCTTCCTGTTTCTCCTGCGGCTGCTGATGTCTGTGTTGTTCTGACACGTAAATCCACAAACACATGATGAAATACACAAACTAGATTCATTTGGAAGATCCAGGTGCTGCGTTTGCACAATCCGGTGTGGGAAAATGTCACACCCTCAGTGTGGTTTCACAATTTGTCCTTTATTGCAACACATTTAGGGGCAAGAAAATGAAAAAAATGGTAATTTCCCAGCAGCTGGGGCACCAAAAACTCCTGTAAAATATAATTTTCCATAATGAAAATACAGTTGATATCCTTAATTTTACATAATGTGTAGTTTTTTTGTTTAGTTTTTTTGTGTTTAATGAAGGCTATTTACACATAGAAAAACAATAAAATTACCCATAAATAATGTGGAATATTGTTATAACTCAGATAAGCAGGAATAATGCTGCAGAACGGTGCCGTTGTTAGTTGGGTTTTATTGGGTGTTTTATGTAAAAATCTGTTTCAAGATGTAAAAACCTGCGGTTAATGTAGCGTAAAGCAGATTTTACGTCTAACTTTGCGTAAAAATCCTGTATATTTGACAAATCTATCATGTTAAAGTAGTCTGAAAAGTAAAGGATTTACCTTTTTAAAAAAAAAAGAAAGTAGAACCACAGCTGATTAGAACTACAATAATACTATAAACAGTTAATTTTACATCATATCAAGTATATTCTGATTATTTTTACATTTAACTTTACGTAAAAATCTGGTATTTTTGACGAATCTTTAATGCAAAAAAAAAGTAAAAGTAATCACCTATAAAATATTGTATCATTGAAAAAACATAAAATGAAGGTTATTAAACTAATTCTTATGATGACAATTACAAATAATTAACAGTTGATTTTAGATCATATGAACTATATTAAGAGTTTTTATAGGTACATTTATATAAAATGTTCAATATTCTCTTGTATAGATCTTGTTTTTATTTTATATTACATTAGAAATGGATCTAATTTTGTAATTTTATTGATATTTTCATGTATTTCAAAAATCCACGTTTAAAAATCCTGTTAAAAATGATAAAAATCTGTAAAATTGCAGATTTTTTTTATGGGGCGTTGTGGCTGAATAAGAAGATGCACGTGTTGTTGTTGTTGTTGTTGTTGTTGTTGTTTTGCTCGAACTCAGTTTAACACTTGAGGGTGTAATTAAGTTAAGAGATCTTTCCAGCAGTGTAAAGTGTCCGAGAGCAGCCGGTAGTCGAGTTACAGACTCGTCACCGCCGAGCAGACGGTCGTTTATCAGCTGGAGAGCTTCACAGTCAGCAGCTGGTTGTCATCACCTGACTCGTGGGTTTTAACAGATATGACAAGGAACACAGATTTAACTCAAAATGAGGATATTTATTATAAACAAGAGCAAACCATGTAACCAGTAATAATAAGTAGTGCGCGTGACTGTCGGTGGTATCAGTAGGTGTGAATGAGTGAACATGATGGGATGTGAGGTGTGTCAGCACCAACGAAGCCGGGTCAGAATCAATAAGAAGGATGGCTGAACTTTATGGGCCGTCCTGATGCCTTCAGGGACCCACAGATAACTGGAACTCTAGGCCTCCGTGGCAGCGGCTGGCACAGCATAAAAAATAAAAACCCTCTGTGTGTGTGTGTGTGTGTGTCTTCAGAGTGAGGTGGTGAGCTTGGGGAAGCAGTGCGGACTCTCCCAGCGGAAGATCCAGACCTGGTTCAGACACAGAAGGAACCAGGACCGACCGAGCAACACCAGAAAGTTCTGCGAGGCCTCGTGAGTTTTTTTTTCTTCTGTCAGCTGAACGCCAGCCAGTCACAGATTTGTGCTTCTTCCTGGTTTGATGACGTTTCTGCTTCAGGATGTTTCTGCTTCAGGAACTGTTGCTGCTGCTCATTTCAAACCTTCATTTTCAACCCTGTGCATTGTTTAGAATCAGAATCAGACTTTTCTTTATTAGTCCCACAAGGGGAGATGTGCAGCAAAGTGACAGAAAAGCAAGAAAACACAACTATACATGAAAGAGGGGAGGTATAAACATTATAATTATTATTACTGTGAATATTTTATACATTTAAAAAACTTAATTTCACTACATGTACAAAAAATAAACAAGAATCTGTGCAACATGAATAAAGTCTGTCCAACATCAGTATTTCCTGCATCAGTATTTCTACTGGTGGAAGAATCTGTGAAATGAGGAGGAATCCGTGCACAATCTGAATTTCCACACATGGGAGAATCTGTACAACATCAACAGCACTTGTCTATATTTATATTTATTTTAATGTTCTACTGATGTTTCCTACATTTTCCCCTTTGCTGCTGCAACACTGCAAAGTTCCCTGCTCGAGGCTTGTCGTATTTTTTTAACCCATTTGTTGCCACTGATGATTCAAACGGCTTTAACAAATGACAGTGTTTGTTTGTTCCCGTGCAGATGGCGGTTTGTGTTCTACGTCGCAGCTTTCTCAGCAGGACTCGCCTCCTTAATTAATGTAAGTATGTTTATGCCGCTTTATAAGATCTTTATAATGAACCTTTGCACTAAATTGCACTTCTAGCTATAAAGTGTGTAAAAATATCATCAGGATGTGTTTATTGTGAGGCGTGAGTTTGTGTTTTAAAGTCCAAAGTGGTAAAAAGTCTGCGTTGTGTTTGTTCATGAGGTTCACGTTCAGGTCAGAGTTGGTTTCGTGGGAGGATTCATGTGAATGATTGTTCTTACAGACGCCCTGGTTCTGGGATCACAGAGAGTGTTGGAGGGGTTATCCCAAACAGGTGAGCAGGACGGACATCAATATTTATCTGTACGTTGGATTAAACACAAACCAGCCACAACATTAAAACCACCTACAGATCAGCAAAGTTCTGTTGGGTTCTGGCATTCATGTGGACCTAAGCATTACTGCAGCGTCCTACCCAACACCTGCAGACAACAAAATCTGCTCAGAGAAATAAAACAAGTTGTCGATCCGGCCTCCAAACTCTCCAGATCCCAGTTTGATTGAGAATCCACGAGAAGAACAAACCTGATCCACGACGGCCTGAAAGAACCTGAAGGTTCCCAGAGATGTTTTGGCGACTCAAGACGAACCAACATAAAAATAAACAAGTGGATTAAATGTTGTGGCTGATCAGTGTGTGAAATTATACAAACTATGGAGCTGAAATGAGCAGCAGGTTAATTGATTGTTCAATTAACTGAAAATGAAGCAAGAGTTTTGATAATCAGCTAATTGAGCTGTTTTGTTTTGTTTGTTTGTTTTTTTAAATCAAGCAAACATGGAAGTAAGTTTTTTTCTGTAGCAGCTTATTAAAAGTGCTTCACAGGTAGATTTTTTTAAAAACAACACCTAAATTCAAAGGAAAATTAATACGTTTAAATATTAAAAAAACACATTGGATTGACTGAAACAGCAAAAAAAAAGAAAAAAAAATTAAAAAAAACAAGAGATGAGGAAAATAAATGCATGTCAAAGATAAATTGTACAATAAAATAGAAATTATTAAATATGAATTAAGACTGAATTTAAAAATTGAAAAGGTAATATTAGATAAAAATTAAACTTACTTAAAAACAGCTGGTTTTAGCTTCTCCAAAAAGAGGATTTCTTGCTTTTTTATGTTTAATATTTATGTGAATTGAATGTCCCGGACTTCTAACTCTGGGTGGCATCTTAATTCTAAATACTTTTTATTATATTTCTATTTTATTTTTATTTTTTTAATGTAGCACAGTAGTTTTTATGCACATATATATATTTTATGAAAGGGTTTTTCTTATCTACTTCTTAGCTCAGTGTAAGTCATGTGTGTGTTTTCTAATTTACCCCTTAAAGTACTCTTTGAACCAGACTAATTGCTGGTTAAACACATAATCACTTCATCAAATGACCGATGAATTGATGAATCTAAATCATACTTAGTCCAACCTGCTCTCTGCTCTGTTGCACTCAGTCACAGATCATTCAAACAAAGCAGCAGCTAAAAACAATAACCGGATTGAATCCAACTAAACAAAGTCGTGAGTCTCTGCAGGATTTCTTGGCTGCAGCCTGATCAGCAGCCTCCACCCAGCCGCCAGCTTTCATCTCCTCTGCTGCACTTTCTGTGCCATGGACCCGGCCTCCTGCATGCTTTCACGTCTCTGGAACTTTCTCTGTTGCCTTGAGTCTGAAAGCTAATATGTGCCGATGACAGTCGGGTTTGCCTGCAGGTCGGCATTCCTCCCGGGAAGCCAGCCCTCCTCATCGGGGTCACGGCCTCGAACTGAAAACACCAGGAAAAAAGAAAAAGTAAAACCACAGCTCTCGCTATCTGCACGCTGACTGATTGCAGCTCCTGCGGGCGGCTCTGACCTTGTTTCCTTCTCCGAGGTCTCGTGGCCTCTGACGGCGAGCAGGAATGTGTTTTTACTGGTTAAATGCCTCCATCGGCTTCCTGCTATTGTGCTGCTGCAACAAACTTTAAATGTTGTCAGCGAGTGTTTTCACTGGAGAGCAGCTTCCTCCGAATGAAAACACGCGTTTCCTCTTTTGTGTTCCAGAGCAGGTTTGTCACCGCACGGCCTAAAAGTTTTGAACTTCGGCTCAACTTTTCCCCGCAGAAAGGCAGCGGACAGGTGAAGCTGGAGGACAAAGGGGCTCTTTGGAGGGTCCCGTTACCTCTGCAGCAC